GCATCTGGGCTCTTCAGATGGAGAGGGGAGGGATGGGACATTTGTTCATCTCAAAATTAATAGAACAGCCACAAGGTAAAATATGGAGGGGTCTTTACGTACACCCATCTCCTATAAATACTCCACAGCGCAATCTATAGGCAATCCTTGCACACCAGCTGACAGTGCTGCTGGTAGATAAACTAAATAATGCCACAGTTGTGCTCCTTGCCTCAGCCCAGTCAGTAATTTCTTTTTTGCTTCTCTCTTCTCCAGAAATGTATGGTAACCAGATTATCCTTGAGTTTTCCAGACTGCTTTCATATTTGATGGAAATTCAAAAGTTATTGCGGGTAGAAAAATAGATGCAACTGCATGAGTCTTGATCCCTCTGAAAAAAATCAAGATACTTCTGTAGTGGAGGCACAGGTGGGGTGTTGGTGAGTCACATAGCACCTGGCAGAAGAGACAAGAAAGTATAAGGAGACAAATTCCCTGGGTGAGGCCAACCCATCAATTTCTCCTATACATCTTATTGTTACCAAGTACACAGATGCATAATCCCAACTGCAGCCACAACTGCTGACTTTATGCTACATGTGCTCTGAACCTTTTCCTCTTTCTCTTGTAGCTCATCAAACTTGTTCAGCCACACACCTGCTCAGAAGGGTATAAAGTATCCTGTGATTTGTCCAGGTGACCCTGTACTGTAAAGCTATTCCTATATGAGCTGCATGGCTTTCCACTAACAAAAAGTTAGTTGGCAAGGTGTCCCTGCTGTAGGAAGGCAGAGGAGCAGCTGAGTCCTCATGTCAGTTCTTTATCCCAGTCCTTCTTCCTTGAACTATTGTTTCTCTGCACCTCAACATATTTTGGCATGTGCAAAGTGCAGGTCTCCAGTGTGGAAGAAGACATCATACTCAGCTCTTTCACCTTTCAGGCTTAAAGTCTCCTGTTGCTACTCTGCCAAAATAGCACATATTTTCCCATGTACTAGTCTACCAAAAGCTGAAATGTGGTGGATTCTCTATTCCAACTGAGTGACAAAAAAAGAATCCTCATGCTCAGATCCTTCACTAAAGCAAAGCCAACTAAATTAGCTGCCCTAGGGATCAGATGAAGGTCTGAAAATAAAAAAAAATATTTAAAGGAAAAAAAATCCCAACTATTGACATTGGTAAATATGTCTTAATTAAAACTTTGGAATGCACAATTCAAACACACTCCTGTCATCCTCCGAGTCTCTGCAAAAGTTAATGAGATTATTTTTTTTTACAGTCCTCCACCGATCTGTGAAGTACAAAAAGGGAGTCAGAACTGAAAATTGAATATTTTGGGTGCATGGCTAGATGCTGATTGCATTTACAGGAATTTAATTCAAACAGGATCCCTTCCAGATCCCACTGGCATTATTCCAGGAAGCCATGGTAGCAACTGCTGAGTTGTGCTGTGTGGCCAAAGGTCTGGCCCTAAATAACAGAAGCAAAAAGTGATGGTGAAGAAATCCACTTCATGCACCAAATGCCATGAAAATCAAACATCAGGTACTGTGGTTTTTGCTTCTTCACTTGAAAAGGAGGATGCAATTACATCCTTGATTTATGGATAATAGAAGTTAGGTGGTTTGTTTTTTTTTTAATCAAAGAAGTTCCCACATTCATACACTGTTTTCAAAGCCTCTAGTAACCCAGAAATGTGAGAGAGAATAAACAGACTCTGTAAATTCCCTTGATGAAAACAAAAGAGCAGACCTGGTATCTCAAGACTTGCAATAAACATACCTTACTCTCACAAAAACAGAGACAGGGGTTTTTTTCATATATGCAAGTCTTTTAAGACCTATTTAATCCAGTTTAATGCAGATAGGTCACAAGTTTGATTTAGGCTGGGTCAGGGATAGCTATTTGCTTAAAGCAAACTCTCTGTTTACCCTGGGATAATCAGTGAGTCTTTCCTTGCCCACTTACTCTCGTCCTCTCCCTGTTCAGGATGTCTGCTCACACAGGAACAGCCACACAGTGGGAAATTCAGTGAGTGATAACTATTCTATAGAGTGCCCCTCATGCCCTGTGCTGGTGTGGAGTAGGAGGCCTACACATACATTTCAGGGAGAGTGGGTGAAATTTGTATCAGTGACCCTGAGGGAGCTTCAATGATAAGAGCATCTGCCTCATTTTCTAGGGTTGGATGTCATGCAAGAGATCACTCTGCTCCACTCCTCCTCCAGGTGGATTTGGGGCACAGAGCAGTATCCCAGAAAAATGTTCAGAACCTAGTTAGAATGAGACATTGCAAAGGGACAACAGTCCCAGTCTCCAGTCACAGGTTTCTCCACTGCACAAAAATTTCCAAGGAACAATAACAAGTATATACATAATGTGAGCTTAGAGGAGTTTGCTATTTTTTGTCCATTATTGGGGAGAAGGAGTTCTTTTGGTGGGATTTTTGATGTCGTGTTGTCTGGGTTTTTTACGTAATAGTACCTAGCAAAATTAATGCTACTGGAGAAATTTCCACATCAAAATCATAAAAGGGGAACTAGAAAAAAGGAAAGCTGATATAGAAGAGTCGTAAATGATCAGCTTTATGGAAAAAAGGAGAGAGGGAAGAAGGCAGGAAAAATGTGTCCTCTGAAGACACATGCTACTTTCTTTAAATCACTGGTTGGTTTTATCATAGAATGGCTTGGGTTGGAAGGGACCCTAAAGATCATCTGGCTCCAAATCCCTGTCATGGGCAGGAACACCTTTCACTAGACCAGGTTGCTCAAAGTCCCATCCAACCTGACCTTGAACACTTCCAGGGATGGAGCATCCACAACTTCTCTGGGCAGCTTGCCCCAGTGTCTTACCACCCTCACAGTAAAGAATTTCTTCCTAACATCTAATCTAAACCTGCCTTCTGTCAGGTTAAAGCCGTTACTCCTTGTTCTGTCACCATATTCCCCTTGTCAAAACTCCCTCTCCAGCTCTCTCGAAGGCCACATTTAGGTACTGGAACGTGCTATAATGTCGCCCCGGAGCCTTCTCTTCTCCGTGCTGAACAGCCCCCATTCTCTCAGCCTGTCTTCACAGGAGAGGTGCTCCAGCCCTCTGAGTATCTCCGTGCTCTGCTCTGGACTTGCTCCAGCGCTCAGGTCAGAGGTGCCGCAGCGGCTGCTGCCCGGGATGCTCCGTGTGTGCCCGGGCCAGGCAGGCCGTGCATTACCGCCTGGTGCCGCAGCTCTGGCCACCTCCCCGCCCGCCCTGCCGCGGCTGGGCCCCGTCCCCACTCACACCAAACCCTCTCAAAGGGCTGCTAGTGGCGTCCCAAGCGCTTGTTTCCAACGAGGAAAGAAAGCGCTCCAGAAAGATCCCCACATATACCTCATGCTGGGTGCACTTCAACTCAAATCAAAATGCTGTGAGCACACCAGAAAGCAAAAGGAGATGAGATGGAGGTTCTGAAGGACCCGAACCCCTTTCTGGTGCATCATTGGCAGGGTGACAAACAAGCTCTTGCAACACACAGGAGATATGCTGGGATCTGGTGATGGGTCCCAGCCACCTCTTTCATGTATGTTAGAGGACTGGACTACAGGCTTAAAAAGACACTTCCCTAGAGCCTTTCAGTGAGGTAGGAACTGTGAAGTACAGCCCTTCAGGAGAAAGGGAGGGCTGACAAAACCCGTGCCATAGTTGTGCGACAGGCTACAGTGTGAGTTAATTTGTAAAAAATGATATATATAGTCCTGCTCATTTTGTCTTGATGTTTTCCACAGGCTTTGGCATCTGATTCAGCAGATTATGCAAGAAGGACTGATGATAAATGTGACACACCATGTTTGCCCTATTCTTTTTTGGTGGAACATTTCAACAGGGGGTTTACCTAATCTCTTCCTACCAGGACACACTAAGATTATTTTCCTTCAGTCTCTTATACACCACCCACACTGCCCTGCATTAGGACTTTCCCTCAGGCAGTAAGACATCTTTGCTCAGAAAAGAGCATAGTTCCTTGCTGGAGCAAGTGAAAGACAACCACCACCTTCCTGCTCACCTGAAGCAAATGCACACACATAGGCTGAGGTCTACCCCTCTCAGCCCTTTTAGTGAGACATCAGTTCATCTTCCAGTCCCCTGAATCTGGCAGATGGTTATTTCAGGTGCACCACAAGATCTAGCAACCAATCCCTTTCCCTGGTCTTTCAAACTCCTGAGCATGGGCCAACATTGCCTCAAGAGGACCTCTCTGGAAACCAAGTACTGACATAGGGGAATCTAACCTCAGAGCTGAAAAGCTCTGCAAGCCACAGAGAGCCAAAATACTCTTCTCCCCATGTTTCTCTTGCTTTCTGGAGAGTACTTAGGGAAAACCTCATCTCCTCTGAGTCTAATGCAGCCCTTTCCTGTAGCCATAACACCTTTTGTAAATGTAGGGCGCAATGTTCTCTTCTACCACCAAAACCAAAATCTTCTTCCTACTGGCTTTGCTCCTCACAGCCCCCTCGGGTAGGTACTCCTAAACTTCCTTGTCTCCCTCACCCAAATCCCACATCTCCACATCAGGTGAAGCAAGACACTGGACCCATCATCCAGCAGGCTTCTCCACACACAGATGCACATACACAAGCCAAGAGCTACATCCCCAGGGCTCACTGCCCATTTCTTAAGGATTAAGTTTCCCCATGAATCTTAAAACATATGACTGTTACTCCTCTCACCTCCACACCACTTACCAGTGTTATATCACACATATCTGCCCATGCTTTTTCACAACCCCTGAGGATCACAAAGCAGAAGTCCCTGTATGATGCAGGAGTGGTGTTGCTATCACCAAGCCAGAGCTTTGTGGCTGGGCTTCGATGTGGTCATCAGCAGGAGACAAAGTCTGCATCAGAGCTGTGATGACTCAGGGGGTTTCAAGGGTAATTTTTTTCTTTCCCTCCAGCCAATAAGAGCACTCACAGAGGCACATCTTCCCCGGCAGGAAGCAGAGCAGTCACTCCTCTGGCTGACAGGCTCCTCTTCTGAAGTGTGGAGATGGCAGTGAACTTTGGCTGCAGCTTCATCGCACTTTGCTGTTTAGCACTCTGGAGCTTCACCGGGACTTCGGGTGGTAAGAGTGGAAAGTAATTGCTGTTTTCCTTGTGGTTTAGGTCCTGTGAGTGCTGCTACATAATGCACTGGTAAATAACAGCCCTTCCCCGACTGCTGCCCATGCTGGCTCAGCCCTGCAGGGTTCAGACTGCAGCTGAAAGTCCAACTGCTTAAAATCCTTTCTCCTCTTACAGTGAGCCATGCTGTCCAGGGATATCATTTGGAGATTTTAAAGTCAACTTATGGTTTTAACTTATTTGTCAGTGTTTAAACTCTATGTGACCTTGATTATTAAATCTAAAGACTGTGGGTAACAACTTGACTGCTAAGTACAGATGGGCACTTGAGTGCCGATTAGCTGACTTTAATGAAACATTACTTCGTATAGTTTCTTTCTTTGCTGAGCAAGGAAATTCTCTTGATTGCAGCTGGCCTTAAATCTTTAGAATGGGAGCTGCAGACAGGAGTGGGTTTTTTGAAGGTTTTAGTTCTCCTTCAATTTTACTTTGGCTCCCATACACATAAAATACTGATGCATTCAGGGATGGTGTTTGGTTAGCCAGTAGCTTTTTGTTTCAGCTGTGGTTTCCTTTGAGGGTTGCAGAGGCATTGCAGGAACTCTGCCACATCTTAAACATTGAGTCTAGCCTTGCTTCTAGTAATAGGAGGGAGATTTTGAAAGCACCTGATGGAAAAAAAAATCAACTTGTTGCCTATCTGCTTTACTGTAGGCTGGGAGAGAGCATCCACAGGATTGCACTCTTATACTGCAGGAACAGGGTGAACAGGGTCCCCAAAGTATTCCTCAAGGAGGAAAACACAAGAGAGAGCCTCTCCAAGAACAGCCATCACTTGCTTAATAACACACAGTTGGTGTGTTAACTGTTAGAGCAAGGAAAGAGTCTAACCATACTGTCATCCAACAGAAGGAGCAGGAGGAGGGCCAGCTTTTCCTCTCTCTCTCTTCACATTTCCAAACCCAGAAGCAAGGATAGGGTCTGAAATATGAATGCTCTGGCAATAAGCATCTCCCAGTAGAGCAGCAAGGGTTGCTTGCCCAGTCTGGGCCTCCAAGTATTGCAGGTGCCTGGTCAAGCCGTACAGTGCCTCTGCTTCCACCTAGGCCTGGATGACAAGTGTTTCAGCAATGCTGGTATGCCTAGAGCCCTGCACTGCTAGCTAACCCTCTGAGCCATTCTGCCTTGCTCCTGGAGCAGGGCCATTGCCTTATACACATTCAGCTTTTTTAAGCAGTAGCAGTCAAGGGCCAAGCTGGGGATGAAAAGGACAGAAAAGGCTGCAGAGAGACTATCAGAACTACAGGTGCCTCACACCAGAGAGTTTTGGGGTTTCAAAAATATAGTAGTGCGAACACTATTCCAAAGAGTAAGTTATTTCAGACCAGAGTGTGTGCCATGCAGTGACCACCTGGAATGAGAATCAAAGTACATAAAGTAAACCAAATCCTAGCCTTAAGAAATCTGGATCACCAGAGGAAAACAGGGGGGTAAACTTCTCCCACAAGGGCTCAGTACATTTTATACCCACTTTGCTCTGGTATGAGTCATTCTCAACACCAAGTTGCAATGGGGGAAGGAGGTAAAATGCCAAGTACCCCTTGGTGAAAGCTGAGGGAAAAGTACACTAACCTATCACCTGCCTATAACACATGGTCCAGCTTGCTAGACCATAAGGTCACCTCTCCAGGCCTAGCCACATGTGACACTGCTGGATCTACCAGCCACTAGAGTCAGGAACAAGGGCACTTTGGACTCTGACTCTTGGTTTGAGTAATATGTGATAGTTTTCTTCCCATGCACACAATGCGACTTCAGCCAGTCTCACTCTGCCACCCTATGCCTATAAAAGATATCACCATGACTCAGGAGATGTTGAGGGCTCTCAAAAGCCACAAAAGGGCCTTGTGCAAAGATTGAAAACATCTGTGGTTATTTCCTCCTTTTACAAAGAACAGTAAGTATCTGCTGTCAACATCCCCACCACTGGCCACACCTGACTTTCCAACAGGCATGAGCACATAGATTCAAGTAAGGTCCTAGAGACCAGCAAGGAGAGCCCAGGCCACCAACCTGCTCTCAGCCTGGCAGACTGTCTCAGTTGCCAGGTGACCTCAGGAAAAAGCTGGTTCCTACAAGCTGTTGGGTTGGTATTGGTGGCACCAGAAAAAGCATGGCATTCCAAAAAAAATTATGAGCAAGACCCAAATTAAGGCCCTGCTATGCCTCAAGCTTCCTTTCTAACTTCAGGCAGGTCCTGAATGGCCCTCTTGAATTCCCTGTGGATCCCACTGCCCTAACTCCTAGGCAGAGTGCCTGTTCAGGACAAGACACCAAACAAATGCTTTGAAAATTCTTAACCATGAGCACTGGGTAAGAAGTGCTGCACGAGAAATACCTTCAGTCCAAGTCTGCATAGTCATGAGCTTCTGTAACTCTTGAATCCCACCCTTGCTGCAGTGGGAAAATGTAATCCCATAGAGAACAGTCCCAGGACAAGTGGATTCTGGACTGTTAGGTGGAAAAACTGCCAGATTGCCCAGCACTGGCTGCACACCCAGTCCCAACATAGATCAGAGACATGGGACAGGAAAGCTCATCACCTTCACACCAGACACAAAGCCATGTGCAGAACATCATCTCCTCTCAGACACATGGCCTGGGTCTCTCATGTCCCACCTACAAGAAAACATGGGGGTCACTGAGGTAGCTGGGGTATCAGACAGAAAGAGATTTGAATTATGGACATCCTTAGGTCAAAGAGGGATGTGGAATTGAGTCTCCCCTTTGCAGGTGAAGACTTAAATCCCTGAACGGTATTACAAGGGGGTGCAGCAATTAACACCTGCAGAGGAGGATGTGATCATGTAAGTGAGATGTACATAAGCAACCTGTAAGATGAATTTTTGCAACCTTCTATGCTGATGATGGCATGTAATGCTGGTTTGGTTTTTTTAAAATAGACTCTGGATCACCAAGTTGCCCCTGTCTTCTACTCTGATTTCTCGGTGCAAACTGGCTCTCATGCTCAGTCTATACTCTGTGTAACTGGCTGCGGGGGAGAGATTTATCTGTGAAAAAAAGCCAGAGGTGATAAAAAGTTTGACTTTCACAGAAGATTTAGGACAAGCTCTGTGTGCACTGTTGTGTGCACAAGCACACGCAGGCTCACTGCCTGCACACACACAGCATGAATTCTGAGGGTCACCTCCTGCACTGGCAGATCTTGGCATTAGCAGTGGGTGCACAGTACCTTGTGCATGTTGAGGATTTTTTCCTCTTCTTTTGTTTCAGAACCAGGAAAGTGGAGGGGAAGGCAAATGTAAAAGGGAAGGAAATAATGACAACAACTGTAAGCTGTAACCTTTTAAATTATTGGAAAATAAGCAGGGCATGGGGCAATAGCTACACAACCAAGTAAAAAAAAAAAACCAGTAGATGATTCTAGGATTTTATGAAGTGCTCTAACTTCAAAGGTCATGGGTTAACCCCCACACTCCCCAATTTCCATTTCCTACACACCTTGCTTCTCTACTTCATGACCATGATAATCATAGAATGGTTTGGGTTGGAAGGGACCTTAAAGATCATCTGGTTCCAATCCCCCTGCCATGGGCAAAGACACCTTCCACTAGACCATGTTGTTTAAAGCCCCATCCAACCCAGCCTTGAACACTACTAGGGATGGAGCATCCACAACTTCTCTTGGTGACATGTTCCAGTGTCTTACCACCCTTACGGTGATGAATTTCTTCCTAACATCCAATCTAAACCTGCCCTCCATCAGTTTAAAGCCATTCCCCCTGGTCAAAAACTCCCTCCAGCTCTCTTGTCCCCTCTCACCCCCCTTCAGGTACTGAAAGGCCACAATAAGGTCACCCCAGAGCATTCTCTTCTCAGGCTGAACAATTCCAATTCTTTCAGCCTTTCCTCACAGGAGAGGTGCTCCATCATTCTAAACATCTTCATGGCCCTCCTCTGGACTTGCTCCAACAGTTCTATGTCCTTCTTATGATGGAGGCCCCAGAGCTAGATGCAGTACTGCAGGTGGAGTCTTGACATTGACAGATGGTCCTTGACATCTGGATCAGGGCAACAGCACTTCAGCACCCAAAGCAGCCCATTCTACAGGACAGTAGGGAGCTATTCCAAGTTCTGCCCCAGGCCCCACCCAGCTGGACAACAGGGTCGCTCTCTTTTGTCAGCATGTAGAAAGAGGGCATCTTCCTCTCATCTTTATCACCACCTAAATCCTTCTAAAATAAAATGCCTTAAGGATGGAGTGGGTGGGAAAGACTTGTATCTCTGCTAGTTAAAGTATGCAAAGTAAGAGCAGCAGGGCTCTGCCTGCTAGTGATTGATATGTTCAAAGTTGGTCCTTCAATGAGCTGGAAGACATACCAGACACCTTTATAATAATACTCATGATACTCTGGCTTCTTTTAAGTCAGTTTGAGCTCTGCTTGCACTTCTGGCAACATCTCTTTATGTCACTTCATTCCACAGGATTGTTTCACCATTTCAAACATATAATGGAAAATTACTTTGTAATAGGTATGAGCAGAGTCCTTTTGAAGCTCAAATGCATTGGACAAGTATGAAGGCTTCAGGGGGCTGAAGCTCTCATCCTTTCAGGTGCTTGATGTGTTTTACACTCATGTTTGGTGTTGTTTCAGCTATGCATGTGCCACCACCTCATTCGACCGTGAAACCTGGCTCCCCTGTCCCCATGAACACCAACAACCCTGGTGTTCGCAAGGCAGCTCGCTTCGGGGTTTACAGATACAACAACAGTTCTAATGACCTCTTTCTGTTTAAGGAATCCCAGATAAACAAAGCAATGGTACAGGTAAGAAGAGCAGACTTCTAGTGGTCCTCCAAACCATTTTCTAATTGACCCTCTCACAGCACACCCAAGACATGGGAGCCCTGATCCTCATCAGGACTGCTATGCATGCCTAAAGATAAACAACACACAACCCTCTATCGCACTGCTACACAGGACGGCTCTGTGTGGGTGACACACAATTCACAGATGTAGCTCTTGATTCTTTGCCAAAACTTTGGCATCTCTTTCCCCTGCCCTTAATTTAAAGGAGGAAACTACTTTATCTAGATTGTCAGAGGGCTGAAATACATGCTCCATGTGGAAATTGAACGCACAGTGTGTGAGAAGAGGGAGCACTACAGCCTGGACAGCTGCAATTTCCAGAGGAAAAAAAACCTGCAACAGGTATGTATCCAACTCCTTTGGGGCACCCAGTAATTGCAGGTGATCCTTGACCATGTCTAGCTGTATAGTCACCTTCATACCAGTTCTGCTATATCCCCTTAGATGTACAAGTCTCTTCTCTGCAGAGCCAGCTGGGGTAAGGCAGGGTTATCACCTCTTATGCATCCAGGGCCAGCTCCTGTCTGCAAGGAGTTGAACCAGACACATCCACCTAACCCATATTCCTGGATAACTGGGCAAAAGTGTGCAGAAATAAGTAGGTGCTAAATAGAGATATTTTCTTGGCAGGGCAAATTCTTACATAAGCTTTCCCAATAGACATGATTACTTAGCAAACAGTGCTTTTCCTAGGATAAAGCGGGCAGGCACAAGGATGTTCTTTCCTGCCCCATCATGGACCACAATGCTGAGATCAACTAGCAGACACCTGAACTTTCTCTCCACTTCCCCTTTTATTTGCAGATGCTGAGATGCTATTTTGAGGTGTGGATAACACCCTGGTTACATAAAGTACATGTCCCTGTTGCTCTCTGTCACCAACACCTTTCCACATGAGAGCCTGACTTACAGAGGATCTACCACCACGAGTTTTTCCTTGCCTGGATTGCTGATGTCAATACTGTCGTAGGGAATGGCTGTACAGAACTGCCACAGAGCTTTTCTCTCAAAGCACGTGGGCTTTTTTTTCCTTGAGAAAGATGCTCAAAAGTGACAAAGATAAGATCTGCATTGACTGAATGTATTGCTATCCAGTTGTGTATCTGTTTTTCCAAAACTAAACTGCACATGAACACCTGTTGTCATTCATTTGCTAAAGAGCCATCCATGCTCTGACTGAATTTCCAAGCATGCCCAGGAAGCTCTGTTGCACCTGCTTTATTCTGTGATGAACCTTACTCACACATCCATGATGGAAACAAGTCTAAACCACAGCACATGTGACTACAACAGTGGGGTGGTTTGCCTGCGGATACATACACACAAGTTTAAAGAGTCTCCAGTGCAAGGGAAAAGGTTAGACATATCTGTCAGGAATGCAAGAGGTAGAGTTGTTCTTTTCTCAAGAGACGAGTATGGATAAGAATGTCTTGAAACACAGCCCAGAAATGACAGTCTAACTATTTCTTCTACTTCAATCAAAAGCTAATCTACACTATGAAAGGGCGTCACTGCAAATGCCAAGGCGAATATACCAAATCATATTTGCAAAGCATATTTCTGCTGAGGTTAAACAATGTGGTTTCATTCAGGTCAATATACAACATTTAATCTCTGGCAAACCACATTTTATATTCAGGTTCAGTAGAATGATGTTCTTCTCTAGGTGAGCATCTACCATTCCTTCAGCCTTCACTCTTCGTCCATGGGCCATTTATTGCTTACACTGGACTAAGTTCCATATTAGGAAGGATTTGGGTAGCTTCTTCTTTAAAACAGCAATATAGTCTGAGCCCATGCTTAGTCATACACAGACCAGCACTTCTAAATGGATAGGGTCCTGACCTAAGCCACGAGGAACACAATTTTTCCACAAACACCCTTTTACTTCTGAGCGTTGTTGCCTTTCTGCAGTAATATTGCAACTCCTATTAGCAGTGACACGGCCAATTTCAGCCTTTATAACAACCATTCAGTCAAGAAAGGCCAGTGAAGTGCTCTGGGCCAAGGTCTGGGGATCTTAAGACAGGTGGATCTATTAACAGCATAGCTAAGGTCTCTGCTCCAAGTAATCCCATAGCAAACCTTAGCAGGCTGGGCAAGTCTCTTCAAAAATATTACTTGTGATGAGCAGGTGGCCCAGCAGTAGCTCAAATTCAGCATCCAGTGCTGGAGAGGCAGCTGTGCTGTATCTTACCTTTGGGAACCACAGTCTCTTGGCTGGAAACAAAAAAAGTGCTCAAAAGAAAGCTCCAGAGGGGCCATGGAAAGATGTAATGTGGTGCTACATTCACCCACCACACAAACCACCACTGACAGCCTCATATCAAAGACAAGGAGAAAGAAAGTCAGCTATAATGGCTTGAGTTGTCCACAAAGCAAGAAAACCAAGCCACAGCTAAGCTTGTAGGACGACAAGAGAATTCATGAGGAGCTGCCCTCCAAATGTCAAAGGGGTTAGCAGTGGTCTCAATCCCTCTTCCATTTCAGCTGAGTGTTTCATAAAATACAAAGGGCTTCCAGTCAGGCTGTCAGCTCCAGACAGCCTGGCCCAGCACAGGCTGGACAGTTCCATGTTTCTTTCTTCAGCCAGCAGGACAGCCTAGTGCTCAGTAACAGATGTCATACACATTTCACATGACAGTGGGGACAAGAAGGCAGCACATTGTCAGCTCAAGTCTGTGTACAGATGCAGGCAGGCAGTAAGCCACAGAACAGCCTCTCCTGTGTGACTCTTCAAGCCCCTGGCTCAAGGGGCTTCAACTCAGTTTCCCCACTAAGTCAATTCTCTATTTGTCAGAGCAACAGAAGTTAAAGCCAGGTGAACCTGGCATCATGCAGGCTGACAAACACAAGTTGTTCTTGCTGCTCTCTCAAAGATGGTTCAGACCTCTCTATCCAAAGAGGCAAGCACCTTCTGAGAAAGACAGATCAGCCTTATGTTTGAAACTGCATTAAAGTGTTAATTGTAAAAGTGTTCACAATAAGAAAGGCACACTGGAATAGCAGCATCCATCATCCCCCCCAGGTAGATAAGAGTTATCATGAGTGCCAAAGAAACAAACAGTGCTAAAGTCAACCGAGCTCTTTGTACCACTCCAGAACACTTCACTCAGGAAGAATTTGGGCAATTAAAAAGGAGGACAGTGCTAACACTGTCCTAAAGAACTGCAGCTAAATACCATTTAATCAAAATTATATGCGACAATCAAAAAGCCAAGGTCTCAAACTTCTGCATCTTTGCTAGAATTTACACCAAGATAAACTGTTCACCAATTCACTCCAAGGAGTTCATATCCTTCAAGAGCTTGCTGAGGCTCTGACTTCTACTCCAGGTTACAATACAGTATTTCTAGTAAAATTTTAGGGCATAGGGTGAGAAGGAAAACTTGTTCCTGCCAGCCCTAGATGCTGGAGAATAAAAGGAACAATCTCAGCAGTGACATTACAAGATGACCTAAGCTGGTGCTTTGGAAGTATGGGTTCATGCAGGAGTGGTACAAACAAGCTGAAGGAGTGGCTTCCTTCAGATTCACATCTCTTTCCAGTACACTGGAAGCACTGGGCTCAATGCATGACACGTTTCTTGACTTATGAGGATACTGCATCTGAACAGGGGTTCCCAGACAGTCTTGCCGCTGGCTGCACACTGAGGAGCCCTCTATGTACACAGTACTAGTCAAACCAAGCTAGCCTGAGTTTCACCAGAGCTTCACAGTACCCAGTGATCCTCAGATGAAGATCTGCATTTGCTCAAAAGTTTTGCTGTGCAAATACATGCTCTCACACTCCCACTTCTTAAATTGCACAGGAAACAAACTGCCTGCCACCAAAACATGAAGCATTGCTGACTGTCAGACCTCCCTCTTTGCACTCTCTTCATATCAGCAGCTCTACATCAAGGACCTGGAAGTCCTGCCAGGTGCACCCAATTTCACAACCTGATTGATCTTCAGAACCCACTGACGGCTGGGGGAGTCATACATGCCGCAGCACAGAACCAAGACCAGCTTTAACTGGCAGCAGCTAGACAACAAGACATGACTACTACTGGCTGTGAAGAAACCTTGTATGTAGCTAACTACAATCACTTATTGCTAAATTTTTCAGTCCCTACTTCAGTCAAATAAGCAAAAATTAGCTTATTCTTTTGTAGCACAGTTTTTAAGCAGGCTAGATGAGACGACCCAAGTGTCAGCATCATCAGATCTCTGCTGTGATCACTGAGCAGATAGATCCAGAAGTTTAGGAGGTCATTATCTCATCTGCAAAGGTTACTGACACAAAGCAGACACAGATTTAAAACAATTGTAACTATACTAAGGCTTTGTAATCACTTTCATCAGCTGTTTACACTGAGAAACCAACCTTTGCATAAGTGTCAGGGGCATACATGAGTTATCTTCCAGGAGCTCTACCACAGGAGAAGTTTGCTCAGGAAGAGGGACAGGGAAGTTAGCTGTGGAATAACATTTTAAATAGCTTCAGCAAAATCTTCTTGATACATGTGCCCTGCAGAAACATCTGTTCCACTAAGAAGACAAAACAAAACACATATTTAAAATGCACAGCTGTGGTGTACTCCAGCTCAGTTCCTCTTCCTTAGGTAGTTTTACTGCAGGGCTTTACAATAAAGCAAAAATTTCCCCAAGCCCTTCAGGAGTAGGGCAATGTTCACTCATATGCCACAGCCTGTCCCAAAAGCAGCTTGGGGAAGACACAGGAAGTAACCTCAGGGTCCTCTGGGAGTCATGCAGGGAGGGTTTCCTCCCTTCTTATGGAATCACAGCCCTTTCTTCTGCCACCTAAAAACAGTCTTGCTCTGATAAGATCTTTGGATATTCCTGTAAATGTTCTTGCTTCTTCCAGCAAGTCAATGCACCCACACTAGAGAAGACCCAGTCTCAGAGCTGCACAGGTGTCATGTTCCTGCACTGACATCATCAAGGGAGAAGACTGGCTGTTTTTTTCCCAGGCCTGACTTGTTCTTGCTTTCTCCTTGCTCAAGGCAGGTATGTAACCATCCATCTCAAACTAACACACCATTGACTCACAATTCTAAGGAATTGGAATGAGACTGTAAAACTAGTCTTCACAGGAACATCAAGAGGAGTTTATGCCAGTTTGTTTATTCCACAGGCATTTTAGTGCTCTGGGAGGATTGGATTTGAGGAACTGTCTAGGATTAGAAGACCTTGAGTTTCTAGAAAAATACCATTCTTAAGCACCCCTTACACTGAGTAATGAGACCTGTGTCAGTCATTAGTTTCATCTGGGTTTTATACAACAGATCACCCCAGTTCTGCATAGAAAGGATATATATCAGGATAAAGGATATATATCAGGATAAAGGATATATATCAGGATCCAGCACAACACCAGGAATGGGAGCCAACACTATCTGCTCTCAGGAAAGGCATCTCCTTTCAGCCTCTGCAGACTTTAGGTCTCCTTGGACTGGAGGTATGCAGACCCTGCATTCAGATACCTGTCATAAGATACTTAAACTGCACAATGACACCTCTACCTGGTCCTGCAGTTCCACTCTGGTCCCTCACATGCCACCATCCCACTATGTGTCAGGCTGACCTCTAACTCATAGGGCCAAGCACAGTTTATTTATGTGGACAAAGCTTCAGCTGAAATGAAATGTTAAGGTTCTTATGACAGATGAAATACCAATGGCCTGGTTAGGTAGCCTATCACCATGCAAAGTTCATTGCTTAGAATTGTGTCACCTACCACTGTTCACACTTGGTGCTTTACAGACTTCAGGGGTCTTTATTTTTTTTTTTAAGGGTACTGCTGACAGACTGTGCCCAATAAACTCCCTCTGTTTGCAGAGGCTGGACAGACAGGCCTTATTCATTCTGAGAAATGAAATGGAGAACTGCACT